ATGATAGATTTGACTTTTGGTTTAATGAATAGTGACACGCTTGTAAACAATTTTAAAGTGTGGCATTTTTGTAAAATGGCATATGAAATGTGGTATTTTTTAAAATTTCTCAAAAATTATATAATCACATTCACAACCAGATTCAAAAACAAATGTATAAGCAAATAGTCTAATTGTTGATAAACGGAATATCAATTAATGATTTAATAAGAAACCAAAATTTTAATATTAACAAGTGAATTTATGAACCTTTACAATATAAAACATAAGGGTTTATGGTTAAAATGGTTGACTAACTGTTAACAAATCCACTTTGGACACAAGTCTTCGAAGCTTACATAAGCTTACACAAGTCATAACTACCCATCAAGAATTAGAAGTTGATTTTTCAGTTAGTCAACCTCTCAAAATCATTTGACATCATCCTATTCCTATAGAGAAAGTAGAGAGAAGAACCAAATATATAAAATTGACACACAAAAAAGAGTTTTCATAATATTATAGGACACTAATATTAAATTGAGAAAATTAAAAACAAAGAAGGAACAAAACTCACTCTAGTCTTTTGCAGCAATACCATTCCTTTGCAGCTTTGAACATATTACTCGCCCCGACTTCGGAGTATTACGCTTCAAGACAAGTATTTTCGATTGGTCGAGACTCGAGAGAACGGTGTTCTTAGAACCGATCATCTCTTCTGTCAATATTGCAAAAAGCTTCCATGGATTCACTCCAAATGTGTGTGTTCCTCGGTTCGCGGAAGTTGCAGACCGATACTATCTCTGCATCTTTCGGACTAAGAAATGTTCGACGAGATTTCAGTCACACGCATTCGACTGGTTACTCTTATTAGCTCCCTAGTCTCTTCATCTAGCTCTACGTTATCCTTTTCCATTCGCTCTTCAACTATGAGCGCCATTTCACCGGCTTTAGCGTAAGTACGTAATAAGGAATTGTAGAGCTGAGTGTTCACATGACCAGCTTTTTGGAGTATAGTCATTAGCTTCTCCGCTCCTTTGACATTCCCTTGTTCCTCGAGTTCTTTGCACACTTCTTTAAGCAGTCTTACATTCACAGTCCATTTCTTCACAGAATCAATGGCTTTACCGAAACAATCTAATACTTTCTCCATGTCTTTACGCTTCAAATAAGCCCATGTGAGGATTTCCCAGGTAGAATAGCTAGGATTTATCCCTTTCTCTACTATTCGTTCGTAAAACTTCTCTCCTAAATGAATCTCGTCTCTGTTCATGTACTCGGCAAGAATTAGATTCGGGATTCTAGCATCTCCTGTCCCGGAAACAGACTCCCATTCATCGTACAGATCTTTGGCTTGTTCAAATTCTCCAAGTTTCACAACTGCAGATATCATGCTGAGGTATTCCGCATCATTCATTTTCTTGAAAGATGACTTAATCTTCTTCCAGGTTAAGTTGACTCCATCTTTGTCCCCCAAATTCCCGTGCAGGCTTATGAGAGAAGCATAAGCAACTCTGTTTTTCTTAGAGACTAATTTCTCCATCTCCTTCAAAGCAAGTTTCGCCTTTTCGAGATTATCGGTCTTCGAATACAAATTCGTTAACACGCTGTAAGTCACCCAATCTGGATTCAGGTTTGCTTCCTTCACTTTAAGATAAACTTTTTCCGCAGCTTCGACATCATTTCCAGAGGCAAACGCAGTCAACCATAGATTATAAGTAACAATATCAGGCGACGATTTAATCTTCAATTCCTTAATCATTTCTGGTACCTTCTCAAACTGCCCTTTCGATATGTACATCGATAGCATGTGATTGTAAGGAAGACAAGACTTCAAGAAACCGCATTCCCCCATTTTCTCGAACAATGCCTCGGCTTTATCAGACAACTTGTTCTGCACATAACTATGGAGAAGAGATGTGCAAGCAGCATGGCCTCGCATTTGATCCGGCATGTCTTCGAAAAACTTCTCCGCACTGTTCAAACCACGGAGTTTAGATATCAAATCCAAATGTACAGCGTAATCACCAGGTTGCAGCTTTATATCTTCCTGCAGAACCATCCATTCACATATCTGCACATACAACAGTTTAACCACAATGAACTCAAAATCAAACCACTGAATCAGATGCAAATTCGTAAATCCCACAAACAAAAACTTTCAAATTCCAGCGATTGAATTAGAATCAGAGACTAATCAAGCTACTGATTACAAATCCCTAACAATAAACATTCAAATCGAAGAGTGAAGGATCAAGCAATGACGAACCTCAAGTGCGTGTTTGTATCGCTTAATCTTACGAAGCTCTCTAACGATCCGATTAAGTTCGTACTTGCGAACGGAATGGCCTTCTTCCTTCCATTGACGGATAGTAACAACGGCGCTGCGTTTCGTATACGTAAGGCTTAGTAACCTACCTCCTAGTGTGTCTCTTCCACCGACGATATTTCCTCCTTTCGCTTCTCTTTTGCCTCTCGTTGCTTCTCCTCCTCCGGTGCGAGTTTTCACCACAGCTCCGGCCACCGTGTCCACCGTCGCAGCGGCGGCGGAGAAATGGCGGCAAATGGAGGCTAGGGTTGGGCGAGCAGAGCGAACCAACATGTTTGGATTCATGTTTGGAGAAATGGAGTTGAGATTTTGTTTACTGTGTTTTGAGCCAGATTTTTATTGGGCCTCGTCTTGGCCCAGTATAATGGGTTAATTCAAATTAACCCAATGGGCACCTGAACACAAAACAAAACAAATATGTCAAAGTATTCGGTTCAGGTTGGTTAGTAGTATTGTTGAAGTTGTTCATAAATCTCTGTTGTAAAACGAATCATGATTTCATGGCGATTATGATT